GTATGCTAAATTCCGTAATATAGGGGGTGTTGGGAACCTTGAATGTAGTGATTTGAGTGAAATGATTAGGGTGGAAACCAGATTAAAATGGTCTGCATAGGAAATGAAAAATGTATCTATGGGCTGGGTGTGGCGGCTCATGTCTGTCATCCCAGCACTTTGGGAGACCAAGGTGGGAGGATCACCTGAGGTCCCAAGTTTGAGACCAGCCTGGCCAACATGGTGAAATCCCAGCTTTACTAAAAATACAAAAATTAGCTGGCTGTGGTGGCACATGCCTGTAATCCCAGCTACTTGGGAGCCTGAGGCAGGAGAACCACTTGACTCTGGGAGGCAGAAGTTGCAGTGAGCCAGGATCATGCCAATGCTCTCTAGCCTGGGTGACAGAGCTAGGCTCTGTCTCAAAAAACAACAACAAAAAACAAAAAAAAGAAAGAAAGAAAAAGAAAAATGTACATATGGCAAGAATAACCATTAAAGAGTAAATATGCTGTAGACAAAGAGAACAATTTGCAAGATATGATGGATACAGGATTCATCTAACTAATATAAAGAAGTGTGCTATAAATTAAGGAACAAAACATACAATCCAATATAAAAATTCTCGATGAAAATGAGCAGGTGATATACAGAAGAAGAAATCCAAATACCCTGTAGGCAACTTCCTTAGAGTCTGAAATTTTCAAATTAAACCCAGAAGTCTATTTTTTACCTATTGATGATAAAAGTCAGTATTATACAGAATGAAGGGAAAGATACTCTTTCCTGTTTGCTGGTATGAGTGTGGAATACTGCAACCTCTTTAAAAGGTCATCTAGAAACATCACTTAACGTGTAAAATATTTGTACCCTTTGACTCACTAATTCTACGCTTTGCCGTATCATGCACTCACGCTGAGAGGATGTGCTGGCTGTGTCATTTCCCAGCTCTGAAACTCTTGGACGCATTATTTAACCTCAGCCTGATTCAGTTTCCTCATCTCTAAAATGGGAATAATTAAAGCACTTACCCCATAGGGTTGTTGCAAAGATGTCATGAGTGAACACAGACACAACCGCTGCTCTACTGTCACTATTGTCACCATCATCTCTACTGGATACTGTGGATCCTTCTGCAATTTGCTTCTTCTGATCCAATTGTATTTCTTCGTGATGATATGTGTAGCTCGGTCTCATTTATTCTTATTTTGCTACTTTATAGTAAGTACATCATGTGACTATATGACAGTTACATAAGTGTTTGCTGATTGATAGAGACAGGTCTTATTTGCCATCACAAACGTGGCTTTAGTGATCTTCTTGTCCTTGTCCATCCATACATGTGAAAAGTCCTCCTGGCTGCAGTTCCAGAAATTGAATTTTAGGGCCCTGTGAGTACATACTGTTTATTTCCCTAGATAGCGCTATGTCGTCTTTCAAAGTATAGTTTGTGGTTTGTGTTGCTCTAGATTTGCACACATGCATTATCATATCAATCTAGTTAATTTTTGCCAATAGAAGTTTTTTGCTATTTAAGTTTGTTCTTCTGGGAACTGCCTATTCATGTTTTCTGCAATTTTTATTTTTTTAATTATTTTATTTATTTATTCATTTATTTATTTTGAGACAGAGTCTCACTCTGTTGCCCAAAGGCTGGAGTGCAGTGATGCAATCTCAGCCTACTGCAACCTCTGCCTCCCAGGTTCAAGCAATTCTCCTGCCTCAGCCTCCCAAGGTAGCTGGGATTACAGGTGCCCACCACCGCGTCCAGCTAATTTTTGTAGTTTTAGTAGACCTAGGGTTTCACCATGTTTTCCACGCTGGTCTCGAACTCCTGACCTCAGGTGATCCACCCTCTTTGGCCTCCCAAAGTGCTGAGATTACAGATGTGAGCCACCACGCTCCGGCCTGCAATTTTTCTATTATGTTGGTTTTCCCTTCTTGATTTATTGAAACTTTTTATTTGATTTGATTTCTTGCAAATATCTTTTCTGAGTCTAGCTTGTCTTTTCACTTTATTTGCTTTGTGCAGAAGTTTCCATTTAAATGTAATCAAATGTATCTATCCTTTGACGTTCCTTTCTTTATTTCTTTCTTTTTTTTTTTGGTCTAGAGGAAGATGGAAGGTTTTCGTGTTGGCCGGTATGTAGGTATATGTGCTGAGAAATGTTATGTCAATAGTGCCCAAATTCTAGGTGTTGTGTTTCCTCCTTTGTACTTGGGGGGATGATGTATGTTAATCTACTCATTAACCTGGAGTAAAACTTCCAGAATGCTCCATTCCACTGGTCACCTAAAAAGGTGACCCATACAACAGGTTCCTGAATCTTTGTAAGTTTGCTTTCCCACCCTCTGGAATGCATGTCTTCCCAGAGTCTTCAATGTACTAGCCCCTTCCTTCCTTCCTTCCTTCCTTCCTTCCTTCCTTCCTTCCTTCCTTCCTTCCTTCCTTCTTTCCTTCCTTCCTTCCTTCCTTCCTTCTTTTTCTTTCTTTCTCTCTCTCTCTCTTTATTTTTTTTGAGACAGAGTTTCAATCTTGTTACCCAGGCTGGAGTGCAGTGGAGCAATATCGGCTCACTGCAACCTCCACCTCCTGGGTTCAAGCAATTCTCCTGCCTCAGCCTCCGCATAGCTGGGATTACAGGTGTCTGTCACCACACCTGGCTCATTTTTTGTATTTTTAATAGAGATGGGTTTTTTCCAGGTTGATCAGGTTGGTGTCGAGCTCCTAACTCAGGAAATCTGCCCATCCTGGCCTCCCAAAGTGCTGGGATTACTAGTGTGAGCCATCACACCCAGTCTGATTCTCTCTTATCCAGCCAAATTACCATGACTTCATTCATGTTGTAGCCCAACAGAATGTTCTGAAAGGTGTTTAGTAGGCCTGTGTCTCTTAGATTACATTAAGGAGGGAGCAGAATAGTAGACAGCTCCTTATTCCAGCATGGAAATGTACATTCTTGTTCATTCCAAGTGACTGCAAAATATTTCTGATCCGATTTTCTGATAAGGATGGAAGAATGTATTTGGTAGATCAATAGCCACACACCACATGCCTAAGGCTATGTCAAGCTGCTCTAGTGAAGATCCAACACCAGGCACAGCAGCTGCCACTGGGCTACTGTGTGGTGGAGTTTGTTGTCATTCACTGTTGACCTGCAGGATTAATTAGTCTGTTCTTATAGGAGCCGGATTGTGAATTACAAGGAAGCGTAATGAGAAGCACCCCTTGCGCGTTTTCTTTAAGAAAATGGCACTGACTCTACCATTCTCTTGAGGCTGTGATACTGGTATCGATTGAACCATATTGGCCACCGTGTGGGTGGGGGAAGTGAGATCAGTTTCAGAGGTTTCTATCTGGTTTTTCCCACTATAATAGCTCTTATCTCTAGGCCAAGAAACCAATGTGGGAACTGTGCTAATGACCACTGCGGGTATTTGTGGTTCCAGTGGATGTAACATGAGCTCAACCAGGGCCAGGACTCCACTTAATATGTGGCTCCCTCAGAGGGTACCATGACGCTGATATCATTGTTAATCAATGACTTAGCTGTTTCTAACAGTACCTAAGATGTTTTGTATTCCCCTGTCCCCACTGTGCAGTGACCAAGGTAAACAGCCACAGGTCCTTGTAGGGAAAGACTGACTCATTTTCATGAACATTTGTCATGGTGTTGCAGGGTCCTTTCTTCAGGGGCCGACCTTCCCTTTAATCCTAAAACTGGCTACCAGGTAAAGGATGTTACTTGACAGCGATCGATTCCCTAAGCCTCCTGGTCATCATTCTTGATTCTTCTGATTGTAATGATAGGTTGATATTACCCTTGTTGGCTGCCTATTAAGCTTCTCCTTGGAAAGCCACATTCAAATAAACATCCGAGTAACTTTCAGCCAGCCAGACCTCTCTGCTACCCTCCAACACACTCATGATAATTTAATCCATCTGCCTTCTGATGACGAGGTGTTGCCACCTTCCCACTGTTGTTTCGGGATCCTGTCATTCCCATTGCTATGGGTAAGCCCAGTCCCTAACAGCATCTCCTACCACCAGCCTTTGCGAACAGAGGAGAATAACCTCTGCTCTTAGTGACTCTCGTACCAGCACATTTCTTACAGCCTCGGTGAATAGCGTACCCTCTGCGTGCCTCTCTGTGCACACAGCACTCTGCTAGGTTTTCTGGACTTAGGTGCTATATGCCCTTTGGTACACTCACTTCTCTCTTCTGTCACTTGCCACAGAAAATGCTGACATTTCTACCTTACTTGGTGTAGGCCACTATGTTTTATGCTCCCACAAGCCATCCAAACAGCATATTTATGCCATGACTCAGAGTCCTTGCTATGGTATTGCATCCTGTATTTATAGAGAAGGCTGCCAAATCAACTAACTCTTCCTTATCCAACCTTACATTCCAGCCCCCTTGATCAAAATCCCTTGAATCCATTTCTGTATGGGCCCTCCTCGCTTCTGCTGCTACTGCCAGACAGCCTGGCTCTGTATCTTCTCTGGGGTATAGGATCTTTCCTCCTGGATGCGATTGAGTGCTGGATTTTCTTGTATTCCTTAAAATAAGATTGGACAGGCCGGGCACGGTGACTCACGCCTGCAATCCCAGCACTTTGAGAGGCCAAGATAGGTGGATCACCTGAGGTCAGGAGTTCGAGACCAGCCTGGCCAACATGGTGAAACCCCATCTCTACTAAAAATACAAAAATTAGCCCAGTACAGTGGTGGACACCTGTAATCCCAGCTGCTCGGGAGGCTGAGGCAGGAAAATCACTAGAACCCAGGATGTGGAGGTTGCAGTGAGCCAAGATCATGCCAGTGCACTCTAGCCTGGGCAACAGAGTAAGACTCTGTCTAAAAAAAAAGATTGGAAAATTTCCGGCCATCAGTTTTTTAGTGGATTAGTGATCCATCCATGGCTTGTTTCAAGAATATAAAGACACCTTCATTACAGGGCTAATCTCACTCCATTTAAAAAGACGCAGCCTAGCCAGGGTCTCCGTTGAAAAGCCCTGGGGGTGTAGCTCAATGGTAGAGCACATGCTTAGCATGCATGAAGCCCTGGGTTCAATCCCTGGCAGCTCCAGCTGTGGTATTCTGTCGTGTGTCACTGCAAATGAAAAGCCCTATGAGTTGAACAGTCTCTCTACTCTGGCTAGAGGAAACTTGAAAGGTCCCAGGTACCCCATAAGCTCTGGGAATTTTCTGATCACTCCTTGTAAATTATTCTTTATTCAGAAATTGTTCTTGTCCAACCTTTGGAGACCTTTCATTCTATACACGTGCAGTTTGATTTTCAACCAAAGACTTAAGGGACCCCATGCAGATTTCCGAGTTCTTTTAAGAGTGCATAGCTTCTTTCTCGTAGGTTCTCTGGCCCACAGATTACAGTGTATTTGTAGTCTCTGAGCTCCAGTTGTATGTATCTTCAACACAGCAGGAATGTTAGATTATGTGTGGGTCCCCTCCATAAGCCACAGTCCAGACACTTCTCCAAACAGAAGTAGACCTCCAGGCCAACATAGGGTTTATCTCACTTCCTGCCCCTTCTCCTGTGCTTTATGTTGTTCCGTGTCTGAAAACTGTGCTCTTTGTGTGTTCAGTTCTCTAGTTGTCTGCTGTAGGAGGGTGATCCTGGACCACTTCCTCCCCATGACCAGAAGTCCAGAGGTTTCTTACTGCGTGTTCTATCTTTATTCATTGATAGAGAAATGCTATTGCCTTTTGTATCCAGAACCTTGCCAAACTCTTTTTTTTTAAACAGTGTCTCACTTTGTTGCCCAGGCTGGAATGCAGTGGTGCAATCACAACTCACTGCAGCCTCCACCTCCCAGGCTGAAGCCATCCTCCTGCCTCAGCCTCCCAAAGTGCTGGTTTTACTGGCATGAACCACCACACCTAGCCTCCTGTATTAGTTTTCATAGCATGTCTGGACATTCCATTAACTATTTTATATTAAAAAAACTATCACGTATCTGCAAATAAAGATGATATAATCTCTTCCCTTCCAAATTCATATACATATTATTTCTTTTTCTTTTCTTATTTAGCTAGTGACTAGAGAACATTTTTGGTGAGCATTGTAACTGCCTAAGGGGCTCACCTTGCCCACTGCTTAGACAGAGCTGATTTATTAAGCCATGGGAATTGCGGTAGATAAAGAGTAATTCAAGCAGAGCCAGCTGTGCAGGAGACCAGAGTTTTATCATTACTCAAATCAGTCTCCCCGAACATTTAGGGAGCAGAGTTTTTAAGGATAACTTGGTGGGTGGGAGGAAGCCAGTGAGCCAGGAGTGCTGACTGGTCAGAGATGAAATCACAGGGAGTCAAAGCTGGCTTCTAACGCTGAGTCAGTTCCTAGGTGGGGGCCACAGGATGAGATGAGCCAGTTTATTGATCTGAATGATGCCAGCTGATCCATCAAGTACAGGGTCTGCAAAACATCTCAAGCACTGCTCTGAGGAGGAGTTTAGGGAGCGTCAGAATCTTGTAGCCTCCAACTGCATGACTCCTAGACCATAATTGCTCATTTTGTGGCTGTTCGTCCTACAGAGGCAATCTAGTCCCCAGGCAAGAAGAAGGTCTGCTTCTTCAGAAAGGGCTGTTACTGTCTTTGTTTTAACCTATAAACTATAAACTAAGTTTCTCCTAAAGTTAGTTCAGCCTACGCCCAGGAATAAACAAGGACAACCTGGAGGTTAGAAGCAAGATGGAGTCAGTGAAGTTAGATCTCTTTCACTGTCTCAGTCATAATTTTGCAAAGGCGGTTTCAACATGATGAAGAGGCCCTCCCTCCCTTGTTCTTGACTTTGGTGCTAATGCTTCTAGACACGAACCGTTAGGATTAGTGTGTGCTGTAGGCTTTTCAAGCTGCTTCTTTTTCCCAATTTCACGAGAGTTTCCAAATCATAAATTGGTACTGACTTTGGCAACTCACCTAAGCACATCTATTGAGATTTTCCTTAGTTTTCTTCTCATTATTCTCTTAATGTGGAATATTATAATAAAAATTTTTCTGATTTTGAAAATTATACATTTCCAGAATGAGCATGCATTATTTCAAAATCTAATGTTGAGTTTGATTTGCCGACATTTTACTGAAGATGATCTGGCTGTGGATTCTGTGACAGGGTGGTCTTCTTTTCTTACACTCCTCTAGTCCGGTTTGGTGAAGAGGGTATTTGCTAGACTTTTCAAATGAGTTTTAGAGGCTTTCCTTCCTTTTTTAATCTTTTAAACTGTTATTTAAGATAGTTATTTTTTGAAGCGATGCCAAAATGCACCGTAAACCCATCCAATCCTGCCGTGTGTGTGTGTTTCTTTAAGCAGGAATCTTTTGATTACAAGTGAATTCACTTTTTTCAGCGTGTGTCGTTTTAATGCGAATTCCTGTTTCTTTGTGAATCAGTGTTGGTAATAGCAGAATTGCTTCTGAAGTGTAGGCTGCCTAACAGACTGACTGAAGCTCTCCCTTCTCAGCGGGAGGGTCTGTGCTTGAAGTCCATCTCCCTGGTGGTGGGGTGCCTTTCCTGTTGGGGTGGTATGAGAGATCAAAAGCTACAGGTGCAGTCTCCAAAACTCCTGTCCAACTGGACTGTATACTTTAAGAGCCTGGCATCCAAACCTTTTCTGTTTATACACACACACCTGATGGTTTTTCTCCGGCTCCATACAAGGTATTACAAGAAGAGGCAGGTGCCCTCACTAGAACCTGAACGCTCTGCGTATCCAGAAGCACCTGCCTGTCCCCAGTGCTCTGCTCTATGAAATGACGAGACACCAGGAAACCACCAGCCTTCTTCTCTGCTTTTTGTTTTTTCTGAATTTTAAAATTTTATTTCATTTAAAAATTTTTTAATTTGTTATTTTTAGGATACTGTGGAATGTGTCTCTACATTTCATTATATTCTTCTCAAAATGTTTCTGTTTTTACTAAGCTTTTCAATTTTCTGGCATAAAGCTGCATGTAGCAGCCTCTTAGGGTCTTTTAATGACTCACCATAATGTCATTACAGCCCCATTTTTATGCCTTGTCTCTTGTTGGTGCCTCTTTTCTCCTGTTTTAATGATCAGTGTTATTTTATGAACTTCTCAAGGAGTTGATCTTTGCCGATCTTCTATTGTTTCTTTCTTGTTCATTTTGTTAATATCTGCTTTTATATCTGTTATTTTCTTCTTGTTACATTTTTAGGCTTTAGTAATTTTTCTTTTTTAACCTTAAATGAATGAACTCATTTTTTTTGAAGCTGTTTTTAATACATGCATGAAGGCTATAATCTAAAGCCCAAGTACTAATTTAGCTACAGCCTTCATGTTTTGAGGTACACAGCACTTTCATGCTATTCATTTTTAGATCCTCTGTAACTTACATTATACATTTCTCCTTAATTTGTGAGTTATTAATATATTTTTAAGTATCTCCATATATGCAGAGCAGAAAGTGTTGTCCACCCCATTATCTTTTTTGTTCATTTTCAGTTGAGTTGAATTATCCTTAGCAAACACAATCTGTATTTTTTTGATGCCATGAAATGTGTTGGCAACTTCTTTGTGTTTTAATGATCGGTTTTTCTTGAAAAGAATATATCTTCTGTATTTTGGGGTGATGAGAGATTTCCTACAAATATATTATTATATTTTACCTTTGCTGGTTATTAATTACTGTCTTGTGTAGTTCATGTGTTAATTTCTAATGTGAATGTATCGAAATCTCTCTCAATGGTTTGAAATTTGGTATATTTTCAGGCAGTATTGCTAAGAACAAAATACGATTTTTCTGGTTTGATTGTTCTTTTTAGTAATATATGGTGTCTTTTATCTCCACTAATGCTATTTATCTTAAATTCTGTCTTGTCTAATATTATTCGTTCTTTGTTGTCCTAATTTTGTCAGTATTTGTAAGGTATATTATTTGTATCTTTTTAATTTAAACTTTTCTATTCAGTTTTGTGCGTCTCTATGTGCTTCTTATAAATAGTGTTCGCTAGATTTTTAAACATCTTACCTGATAGTCTCTGTTTTTTAACTGGTGGGTCTAACCATTTATGGTTATTGAGATTGGGGTATTTTTAGGCTCATTCCTCCATCGTATGGAACACTTTCTACTTTTACCAGCTTTGTCTTTTCTTTTTACCCTTTCCTTCCTTTTGTTAGATTAATGAAATTTTCTCTATCCACCCCTCTTGCCTGCTTCTATTCTCTGTTGATGAAGAAGCCATGATTATATTTTCATTGATTTAGTGATTACCATTAAAGTTGTAACTATACCTCTTTTCCCTAGCAAAGTCTACGGTAATTACTCTCTATTCTTCCTCAAATTTTTGCAAGAATGTTTTGTCATGCATCTACCGGCTGAAAAGTCTCACACTCCTTTTATTATCCTAAGGCTATTTTATTCTCTGCACACACACACACACACACACACACACACACACACACACACAGTTTTGTAGTCAATAACGTGTCATGCTACCATAGCTTATATTAATTTCTTTTTTTTTTAAATTTTTTATTGCATTTTAGGTTTTGGGGTACATGAGCAGAACATGCAAGACAGTTGCGTAGGTACACACACGGCAGTGTGTTTTGCTTCCTTTCTCCCCTTCACCCCCATTTGGCATTTCTCCCCAGGCTATCCCTCCCCACCTCCCCCTCCCACTGGCCCTCCCCTTTTCCCCCCAATAGACCCCAGTGTTTAGTACTCCCCTCCCTGTGTCCATGTGTTCTCATTTTTCATCACCCGCCTATGAGTGAGAATATGCGGTGTTTCATTTTCTGTTCTTGTGTCAGTTTGCTGAGGATGATGTTCTCCAGATTCATCCATGTCCCTACAAATGACACAAACTCATCATTTCTGATTGCTGGCTTATATTAATTTCTGAGCTCATTATAACTTCCCATGTGCCTTGCTGTCCTTCTGTGCTCACTTTTTTTCTAGCTGAACGTATCAATGTTTTTAGTTAAATGCGACAGAAAATGACTTTAGCTAATTAAATAAAGGAGTTTATTCGAAAGATCACGGGGTTTACAGAGTCATGAGGAGGCATAGAGAACAGGACTCGAGGCTAAGTTTCCAAGAATAATGGC